TCAATTTTTGTCCTCTTATTAGATTGTAGACTGAAGAGAGACACTATATGCATTTCATTTTTATTTCCCTTTTGGTACCTAGCATAGTGATTACTGAATAAACATTTACTGAATACCTGAGAGGCATATAAGAATTTATGGATAGAAGAAGGGAAATTATAAAAAATTTTTAAAAGCTGACTGAAACAGTATAATAAATGTGAATAGTGTTTCATTGTTACGGTTCTGTTTTTTTTTCCCAACCCCAAGATGTTTTGTGTGTGTGTGAGGAGAAATCAGAGGTAGCCTAGAGTTGGATACTTCTGTGCTATACAGAGGAAGGGGCGGGGGGGACATACCCTGCAAGGGGACTTGCCAAAATGGAGATATTTGAAACAAGCAATGTGTTGACTAACCTGGCTAGAGCAGAGGATTCATGCTGGGAGATAATGAAAGGGAAATGGATAAATAAATAGATAAAATGGATAAAACAATAGATAAAAAGCAGACAAGTGAGTTTTCAAAGAAGGAGGTAAGGGATGATGAGCAGAGCAAGTAGGATGGCTAATGTCCCTGTTTCCCCAGGACTGAGGGGCTTCCCTGGGCATAGGACATTCAGTGCTAAAACCAAGAAAGTCCCAGGCAAACTGGAATGAATTGATCACCCTAAGAGGAAAGCTGCTACTAGTTGAGACAGTCCAATAGCACAAAAGAGGAGGCACTTGAACCTGGAGACAGCTGGTTAGTGACATACATAGCCATAGTCACGGAATGTGGGGGATAAGGAAAGCAAGCATGGATTACCAAGATGGCAGAATAGAAGGGAACCTGTTCATATTTCGCCACGATAACAAGAATTCTACACCCATCACAGTCAAAAGTCTCTCTGCAGGAGCCTCAGGATTTGGGTAGGAATTTTTGAAACCCCAGTGGACTTGGAGGGTTGTTTTGAGAGTGCAGAGAGACACCCAGGTGGCTGAGCTGCTGAGCTTGCTTCCAGATTCAAGCCTGGAAATGGCCCAGTCCTCCAAAGGGATTGGTTACAACTCCATTTGACCTTAAGCCTGCAACCAAAATCATCTGTCAAGGGGTCTGGAAGAAGTTGCACACACTAGTGCCTTGGTGGAAAGGCTTGTCTGCCTACTGACATTGGTCTCAGCAGTGAACTTGAAAGTGGCCCTGTAGCACTGCTCCAGCATTCCTTAGCTGAGGTCCCAGCTCAGACATGCTGGCACAGGATCCAGATCCAGAGGGAGATGCACTCATATCTTGCAGCCCATGAGTCTGAGCCTCCCTGATGGGCTCACCAACCTCTTCCCCACAGTAGATCCCAAGGGGACCCAGGCTCAGTTCTGGTTCCTTCTGCTACAATCAGGGAACTGTCCTGTCTGTGCTGAGACCTGCTGGGAGATGCACACCCCTCTGAGCCAACAAGACCACGCTCTCCAGCCTGCATCCCACAGGAGATCCCAAGGGGGCCCAGTCTCAACTCTGGCACTTCTCACTGCAGTCAGAGAACTATCCATCCATGCTGAGACCTTCTGAGAGACACGTACCTGGCGGACCAACAAGATGGACTCTCCAGCCTCTGTCCCACAGCAGATCCCAAGGGGGCCCAGTCTGAGCTCCGGCCCCTCCAGCTGCAACCAGGAAACTATCTCATCTGTGCAGGGATTTGCTGGGAGATGTGTGCCCCTCTATGCCAATGAGACTAGGTACTCCAGCAGATCTCACAGCAGATCCTAAGGGGGCCCAGTCTCAGCTCCAGCCCCTCCTGCTGCAGTTAGGGAACTATTCTGTCTGTGCAGGGTCCTCCTAAGAGATGTGTGGCCTCTGAGCCAATAATACTGAGCTATACAACCTCTGTCCCACAGTAGATCCTGAGGGGGCTTAGTCTCAGCTCTGGCCCCTCCTGTTACGGTAGAGGAACTATCCTGCTTATACAGGGACTCGCTGGGTGACGCACACCTGTCTGAACCGACAAGAAAGGCCCACCAGCCTCCTTCCCACAGCAGATTCCAAAGGGGCCCGTTCTCAACACCAGCCTCTCTTGATGCAATTGGGGATCCATCCCCCCACCCATGCAGAGCTCTGCTAAGGGGACACACCCATCTGGGCTACCAGGACTATCCTCTGGACTCAGGTTCCTGGCCAACATTCCTACATGGCCCCAGTACCTTCCTTGAGCCTTCCCAAGTCCATCTGGGCTGGAAAGCTGCATCGACCTCAGACCCAGCTTGTACTTAATTTTTAATACGTAATTACCACTAAACCTCTCTCTGATAAATTTCTTTCTTTCTTTTTTTTTTTTTTTTTGAGACAGAGTCTTGTTCTGTTGCCTGGGCTTGAGTGCAGTGGCACAATATAACTCACTGCAGCCTCAAACTCTTGGGCTCAA